CGATGCTTCTCTAATGTCTATGAGCCTCAGGCTGCCCATCTGCAAAATGGGGTAATAATTCCTTCATAGGGATGTTAAGAGACTTGTGCCTCCTGGGTCCTGTCGCTTAGGTTCAGGTTGTCCCCCTTGGAACTACTTGCTCGATTTGTCTCTTCCCCACGACTGTGAGCTTCTTGAGGGCAGGGACCACGTCCTCTGTGCTGGTCCCCCTACGACTAGCACCATGCCTGACAAGAAGACATGCTGAATAAACATGTGGTGACTGAAAGAGTCCACCTGGCACCCAGTAGGTGCTTGATAGTTGCCCCTTCCTGCCTTCCCTCCGCAAACCCCGCCTTTCGGAATCGGCTTCCTGGACAGATCGCTGCACGCCCAGGCAAGGGCCAGTTTCCATCCTAAAGCAAGTCTGGGTTCTCCACAGTCACTTTCATTTCCTAAAACTGAAATTTCTATGACACATATTATGCAAGAGCAAATAATGCAGCCACTCATTGGACAGCAGGGAGCCGAACAGAGTCATCCGTCCCCGTTCCTGGCATAGCTGGTGGGGGCCCAGTTGTGCAAGTTTCTGAGGTTGGAAACAGAACAACTCTTCTAGTGTTTCTGCGAGCACCAGGGAAAACTGTCCTGGCAGAGCTGTCCCTCATTCTTGGAAAAGAGAGCAATGCCCCTTTCCTCCCCAAAGCCAAGTCCCATGATTCTCTCCTGTGAGAGGGAGTAATGATAAGTCACCCCTGGGCCCGCAGACTAGGCCTGTAGCCCTCCCTGGACGAAGAGGCAAAATGCCTCCACAATTCAGGTTTCATGAAGTGGGTTCCTCCCCACCTCCTTTTTCTATCCCCTCCTGTTTCCTGGACTCGAGCCTCTACTTCGGAGGGGATTCCCCTTCTTCCCAAATACTTTCCTTTTCCTGTTCCAGCTGAGCCTGCCTGAGGCGATGCTGTCTGCCTCAAAACAGCACCTCTACTCATTCCAGCAACACCTTTACTTTCCGAGGGAAACTGAGCTCATCCCATTGATAAGAAGGAGACAACATTCACATCAAAGTCAAAAAGCCCAGTAATAATTACATTTCTTGGTGTATGTGCCTTTTATCAAAGGGGCTTCTTAATCCAAATCCAAATCCACACCCATTCATGTCATTTAATTTTCTCTCCAAATTTTTATTCTTTGTCAACACAGCTTTGAAGCTGTGTGATTTCAGGGCTAAAAGTTCCTCAGCCAACCGACCTCCAATCCCCCTTTCTCTTCTCATTCCCCCATCATTACCTAGTTTTGCCTACTGTTTGTGCCCTGATATTGACAGACAGCTGTGTTTCTCCCGTTGATTTTCCATAAAACAAACACATTTATTCACTTGGCTCTACTTACCAAGCAACCCATATCTCGCATTTACAGATGCCGGCACTGCGTGCGTCCTGCCTGGGGCCTTGCCTGATTTCCACGACTCTGTGACATTCACTTAGCAAGGACAGGACTCGGGTGAGATGGTGCAGTCAGCAACAGGGCTCACCGTCTCTGCTGGTAACCACTGCACCACACTGCCGTCCTGTTCTATCTTCATGTTGTCAGAAATGTTTTAAAATCACTCTGAAATATTTTTTTCCCACAACAGACCAGAGCTCTGGCATCCTAACTTTCCACTAGGCTCTCTGGACCGTTTGATAGATGAACAGTTAAGGTAGGGCTCGACCCCACTGTACCCATAGCAGGCTCACATTCCTGCTCTTTCCTCCTTACCTGGTGATGGCATCACAAAGCTCAACAGGTTCTGGGGGTGTAGGGGTAGGAGCCCCTTGAATCAGGAAATCAAAGGTGACAGGAGCCAGAAGTGACTATAGGATATTCTTTTCCCCCAGGACAGTGTCCTCATTATTTACATCCTGCTCTGTCAACAATTTGATTTGACTGGCCGAACCTGCAGCAAACTAGAGAGGATGAAGTTCCCGTAGTTTAAATCCTACGGCCTTTCCTAAAAAGAACAGCTAACACTGAGTGTTTACCAGGTTCTGGGTGCTGGCTTCTGGGTATCATTCCCCCTAGTTAACACGTGTGAAAACTGCTAGATCTTAAAGCTAACACGTGGAAGAGACACAGCACGGGCCTTCAACAGGCCCCGTCTCCATAATCCCATCATGCTGTGGAGGTGGGGGCGCAACGGGGTGCGCGGAGCCCTGGAAATCAGTCCATTCAGCTTTGGATGTGCGCTGCATGGGCCACCGTTGGTGGCTGCCCCGAGCCACTCCGGAAGCTGATTTACGGTAGCGACTCGGAGAGAGTCTTTTGGAGCTGGCGTCACATATTTTTAAGAACCTGTATATTTCGGTAGGAAAAGGAAGTGAAAAGCTGCCATGATAATGATGGTAATAATAGCTGATGATTATTGATCTCTTTCTGTAGGCCAAGCATTCTGTTAGCTCATTGGATACATGACCTCACTTAAGCAGGACAGAAAATCAGCTGGCATTTCAGTGTCCCGTACTCAAGCCATCATTCAATTATCATTTAACTTTCTTCCTGGACTTAGAAGAGTAAATGACATCCTTGTAGGCGACGTTTGTGCCGCTTATGATTCTTCCATGTGGCAATCATCCTTGAAATGTGCAATGCATTTGGGCCACGTTTGTGTAAAGAAATCTTGCAACAAAATGGGCACACAGAGACACATCCCATCAAAAATTCAGTTTTCTAGTAGTTGAGTGTTTCCTAACATTCTCATTGAATAAGTGTAGCAAGATGATGAAGCCGGGGAAGATGTCTATGGAGATCTGGTGAAATGCATGTGGGCTCTGAAATCAGACAGATGGTGGTTCCAATCCCAGTTGTGTTACTTAGCAGGTTCCTGAGCCCTTCTGAGCCTCCTTGAATTTAAAATGAGGGGATACCCGCCTCATAGACTTGCTATAGGATTAAACAAACACACGTAGAATAATGAGCAGAGGTCTTGGCACAAGACAGAGTCTCAACAGGAGTAATTTCCTTCCACTCCTCCATCCCCACTTTGGATTCGACTTGCCAAACTTGGTAGTGTTCCCTGACTTCTTCTGTACCCCAATTTACAGGTCCTTATTTCCTGATTATCTTGATTTGCTCATTTACTTACTCAAAAGTTTTTATCAAATGCCTATTATATGCAAGTTACTGGGTAACCGTTGAGGCTGCAATGAAGAACTAAATAAAAACAAATTCCTTTTCACGTCCTGGTGAGAGATTCAGACATTAATCATACAAGTGGGTAGGTAGTTAGAAAGGGAGATAAATGCTGTGAAGGTTAGGGACACATATCTAGGCTTTAGAGTAGAGACATGAGGGTGAGTCGAGACCAGAAGTGAGGGTGTCTACGGCAGGGGGGGTTGGTGTTGGGGGAGTGGACAGTGGTGGTGAAGGGCGTGTGGTAAAGGACAGCATTCACAAAAGGGCTATGCAAGGGACGTGTGTAGGGTGGAAACTCTGTGTGTCTGAAAACCTGAAAGACCAGTGTGGCTGGCACACCGATGGTGAGGGGGAGAGGGGCCAGAGACCAGGAGTTTAAGCAGAAGCCATTCCACAGACCCCGCAGGGCTGTGCGGTCCACCTGGATTAGGATCCTCATCCCAAGAACAATCCAGAAGTCACAGAAGAATTTTCAGTATGGGGGTAGCGTGAAATGATCAGATTTTGCGCTGCAGAAAGATCATTCTAGGAACTGTACTGTCCAATAACGGTAGCTACTGGCTACTCGTGGCTCCTGAACACTTGAAATGTTGTTGGTCTTAGTTGGAATTTACTGCAAAGGTAAAATACGCACTGGGTTTCACAGACTTAGTATGAAAAGAAGAATGTAAAATGTCTCATTCATTTTAACAGATTGATTCCATGTTGGAATGATAATATTTTGGGTGAAATAAGATGTAATTAAAACCAATTTTACCTGTTTCTTGTTACCTTTTGAAAACGGAGCTACTTGAAAATTTAAAATGACACGTGTAGCTTGCACGTTTGCCTCCCATTCTATTTTCGTTAAACGGAGCTGTTGGATGCAGTGTGAGTGAAGGGGTACAGAGAAGGTGAGGTGGACCTGGAGCCTGTTTTAGAGTAAGGCAGCTGGGTCATGGTCGCGGGAATAACAGGAGTTGGGTGGATTCAAGGTAAAATCAGTAGGACTAAGTCCTGTAGCAGGTGCATCTGGATGAATGGTGGGCACCACATGTTAACCTAAAGACCGCTGGAAAAGGGCCGGCCCTGACAAGAAATAATTATGAGCTCAGCTGTGGATATGTTCTGAGACAGCCAAGTAGACAGATGTCTCACCTAGGCTTGGGTGAGATGTCTGGGCGGGAGACTTAAATTTGAAATGAACTGGCATGCAGAATGGGCATGCCTGACGTTCCTTAGGAAGCAAGCAGCCAGTGAGGAGTGATCTGGAACCTAGACTTGGGATAGAGGGTAGGGAAGGCTAAGTTTGAAAAGGAGAGTTGAAGGGGAAAACTAAGTGTGTGCGGTCCTGGAAACAAAGGGAGAGAATGTCTTAAGGAGGAAGGAGCGGTCAGCAATGCTGTCTGCCAGGACAGGTTAGGTAACGTGAAGAATAAAAAATATTGGGAGTTAGCAACATGGCGGCCATCGATGATCTTTGCAAGTGCTGCCTGACACGATAGGCTGTAGAGGAGTGCAGACTGGGCAGGAGGTGAAGAAAGAGGGACGGTGACTATAAAGAGCTCTTTTCAGAATTTGGACCATGAAGGGGGAAGGAGGGAGAGAGAAAGAGAGAAGCTTGAGGGAGATGAGGTTTTTTGTTTGTTTTTTAAATAACCAGAAGAGACTTGAGCAGGTGTAAATATTGTTAGGAGTGGTCTGGTTGGGGTGGAGTGGCAGAAAGTACGAGAGGGAGAGAACACAGGGAGGGAGAGCATTCCCTACTGGACCGAGCTGGGGGTGGGGTGGGGGAGGGGGGTGGACCGACCACACTGGGACAAGGGATCCCCCTTCTACTGTGGCAGGAGGGAGGACGGCGGGTGTGGATGGAAGTTCAGAAGTGGGAAGTTGAGGAGATTTCTTCAGATGGCTTCAGTGTGCTCTGTGAAGTAAGAAGTAAAGTCATCCCTGAGAGGATATGAGGGGGTGAAGATGGATGGTCAACGGCGGGAGGAGCGTGCTGGAAGTGTCACATATGGTGGGGAGTGCGGGGGCCTTAGCCAGAGAAATGGAATAAAAATGCCTGTTGTCCTCTAAGAAAACAGGCAGGAGGGCACTTTTAGGTTTGGGATTGAATGTTATACAGGAGAAACAGAAACAGGAGGAGAAGAGACAGTGGTGGCTCTAGAATTTCTATTTGGTAGAGCAAGCTGATTCAGGGGTGGGAGGGCGTGAAGCGTTTTGTGTAGGGTTTTACATGCTATTACAGTGAGGAAACACAAATTGTTCATACTGAAGAACAGGGAAGCCTTATGGAGACTGGATAAGTCTTAGGAGGTAAAGCCCTGATCTTCAGCCCCGTGTTTGGCAACACCAAACGAAGGTGTTAGGAAGATTGTGAACAAGAGGGGCTGTGCCCTCTCTCAGATCCCCAAGGCCTCCTGCTGGCACCCCAACCACCCCCACCCCAACCCTGCAGCTGGCGTGAATGTTCCGACTATCTGGCAGCCCCAGTCAGCTGGGTATGTTCCCCATAAAGAGACGGAAGGAGCTCTTTCCCGCGGAACCAGAAGTTTTTAGGCCAAGTACAACTCTCCATATGGTGTTGAGAGAATGGGAACCCCGGGGGCTGCTGGCCCCTCTGCCTGTGAACGCCAGCTTGCGCCAAACGTTTGCCTCAAGCTGCACTGAATGAGCAAGGAAGAGAAGGAAGGAGATGACGAATGGATTGGGGAAAGAGGAAGGAAATCAGTGGACTCTGAGCAAGATGCAAGAGGCCCGAGCTAGTCATTGAGAGCCTGGTCGACTGTAAGTAATGACCAAGTCCAGGGAGTGGCCGAGGTAGTGCAGAGGGAATCTTCTGGGAGGAGGAGGTAAAGGGACAGAGAGGCTTTGGGAAGAGTGAAGCCCCCTGGGCTGCTGGAAGATCTTGGGAAGAAGAGTTCTATGGGCTGGTGTCAAAGCCTTCAGCAAATGGGAGGAAGGGACTAGGGAGTCAGCAGACGGGGACAGACATAGGAGGCCAGAGGTCAGAGGGCATGCCAGGAGCCCATGGCCCCAGGGAAACGGATTTTCTTACAAAGGATTGGGGAAGTAACAGATTCTCAGGGAACAGGGTTCCTGGCTCTAACGATGCCCTTTGCAGAAAACCATGAGACACCATGGAACGATAGATTTAATCCCCTCGTATGAACTGGGATTTAGCACAGATCATTTTAGTGACCTACATGGGCTGGAACTGTTACATGGTAAATAATGGACACACGGTTGGATCTTCACCAGTGACTGAAAGCTCAAAGGAACCATAGCCAAAGGAAGGGCAGTCCACCAAAGAACGTGGAGGGAAAGTCTCTTTCTCTCTTTCTTCTTCCATTTCCCAAATAGTTGCTGAAATACTTACAAATTCTCTACATTAAAGAAAAAACAGGACTTTTATGGACTTTCTGTTCTGAGTTACCATCGATGCTTCTAATCCTGAAATATATACCAAGAAGCCTGAAATCAGTGTAGATCAGTCACTCGGGCCAACATAGGAAACAGTCAATTTTATTTGGAGAGATTTTCTTTAATCTATCTTCCCTCCCTCGCTCCCTCCCTCCTTCCCATCCCTTCTTCCCTCCAGAATGAACGTTGAAATTATTCTGCCAAGAATACCTTATTTTCTGGAATCATTACAGGATCATGAGTTTAGTCCTTGAAGAGACCTTGTGGAAGTTGGGTGGTGAATTGTTCTGAACAGGCACGGAGTGATATTAGGAAGATGGCAAGCTGAAGATGAGCATTACATAAGGGATAAAACTATCTGAATACAATATAAAAAGATTTTATGGTGTTATGTTTCTAGGTCATTTGGAATTTCTGAGGTATTTAAGCAATTTAATTTTCTTTCCATCAATAAATATCTTATTTAGAGCTCTTTTGGTTGTGAGAGAAATCAATGTCAACTTATTAAGGAAAAGGGAGATATTTTATAAGTGAGTCTATTTATTTTATGACTTGCTAGAGAAATTAGATGTTTTCTCCTTCCTTCTCTCAAAGGGCTAGCAAAAAGCCAGCTCCTCTCTTTTGGAGGCCTGATGTGTCTGTCTATCCTTTGCTCAAGGAGAAAAAAAAAAAAAGAGATCCTTAGAGGTCAGTTATTGAGATAATTTATGTACAATAAAACTTGTCAATCTAAAAATACAATTTGATGAGCATTGGCAAAGACATGCAGTGTGTAGCCACCACCACGATCACGAGGCAGAACCTTTCCAGCATTCCCAAAGTTCTCGGGTGCCTCTTTGCAGTCAGTCCCCTCCTGCCACCTGGCTCCCTGGCTTCTCCTGGATGACCTTTTGTCATAGTTTTGCTTTGTGCAGCATTTCATCTAAATGCACCCTACAGAATCTGTTTGCTTGTGTCTGACTTCTTTCACTTAGCATTACGCTTTTGCTATCCATCCATGTTCCTGCATGTATCAGTTCTTCCTTTTCATGGCTGAGTAGTATTCTCTTGTCTAGATAAGTAGTAATTTTTAAAATCTATTCATCAGTGGATAGATATATGAGTTGTTTCTAGCTTTGAATATAGTACACGATTTTGTGTGGCCTTATGTTTTCATGTCTAGAGAGTAAATACCTAGAAAGAGGATTGCTGGGTCACAAATTAAGTGCATGTTTAATTTTATAAGAAGTTCTCAAACTTTCCCAAAGTGGGTGTACCATTTTGCATTCCCACCAGCGATGTATGAGACTTTCAGTTGTTGCACATTCTTACCAACACTCGGTATCGTCAGTCTTTAATTTTAGTCATTCTTGTGAGCATGTAGGGGTATCTCAGTACAGTGTTTCCCCCAGTTTTATTGAGCTATAATTCACTTATATCATTGTATTAAATGTTTACAACATAGTGATTTGAGAAAAGTACATATGATGAAATGGTTACCACATTAAGTTTAGTTACCACCCATCACCGCACATAGTTATAGTTTTTTCTTATGATGAGAACTTTCAAGATCTACTCTCTTAGTAACTTTCAAATATACAGTACAGTATTTATTAACTATAGTTCTCATGTTGTACATTACACCCCTAGAACTTACTTATCTTGTAACTGGAAGTTTGTCCCTGTTGACCCAGAGAAAGCAGTCAATTTTACTCTGAGAGGTTTTGGTTGATCTTTCAAGGTTCCAAAATGTTTAGAAGTGAGAGATGTTGCTTTTCAAAGAAGATGAGAGGTAACAGAAGAGTACCCTACGGTCAAGCCCATAGCGAAAAAACTAATATTAAAATGAGCTAAAGTAGTAAAACAGTAAAATTTGAAAATTAGTTATTAGAGGTAGAACTGAAAGACTGTGTACTTCAGGAAAATTGCGAGAATTTTTTTGAGATGATGGAACTTTAAAGACATGCTTTTATATTAACTAAAGATATTTACAGTCGAAACTGCCCAAGTCGGCTTGATACCTTAACTTCTGTCACAGTATTTTAAATCCCCAAGGTACTTAGATCTCAGTGAAAATCTGATAGTTGAATAACTGAAGCATTCACTTTATAAGGATATCTGTCACTCCCTGCATACCTTGAATTTAAGACAAAATCAGGGCGCCTGGGTGGCTCAGTTGGTTAAGCAACTGCCTTTGGCTCAGGTCATGATCCCGGGGTCCTGGGATCGAGTCCCACGTTGGGCTCCTTGCTCAGCGGGAGCCTGCTTCTCCGCCTCCCTCTGCCTGCCATTCCCCCTGCTTGTGCGTTCTCTCTCTGTCAAATAAATAAATAAATAAATAAATAAATAAATAAATAAATAAATAAATAAATAATCTTTAAAGAAATAAAATAAGGGGGCGCCTGGGTGGCTCAGTCGTTAAGTGTCTGCCTTCGGCTCAGGTCATGATCCCAGGGTCCTGGGATCGAGCCCCGCATCGGGCTCCCGGCTCCGCGGGAAGCCTGCTTCTCCCTCTGCCACTCCCCCTGCTTGTGTGCCCTCCCTCGCTGTGTCCCTCTCTGTCAAATAAATAAATAAAATCTTTAAAAATAAATAAATAAAAATTAAAAAAATAAAATAAAAATTAAAAAAAGACCAAATATTCTATAAAGTTCGGAAAATGTTCCTCACCCTAGAAAAACCTGACTAATCTTAATCTTGGTAAATGTACACTTGGTTCTGTACCTAACACTTATCAGTGGCCAGAAAAGGTCGAATATGCAAATTTATCCAACACAGAAGTATACAGTTTAACCCACAGTGTTTCCCAGCCACGAGGCATAGTAGCCGTTAGCAGTATCTTTTATTTTGCCACAATTTAAAGAACTTGACCCTTTCAGGTATGTGCTGAAGACACAACCAGATACTTCCTTCTGGAAAATAATACTTTCTCTTCAGAGCACCCTGATTCTTTTCACACACTGGAGGCTCTGGACGCCGGTGGTAACAATTTCCTTTGCTCCTGTGATTTCCTGTCGTTCACGCAGGAGCAGCGAGCGCCGGTCCAGATCCTGATCGACTGGCCGGAGAACTACCTGTGTGACTCTCTGTTCTCTGTGCGCGGTCAGCAGGTTCGGGACACGCGTCTCCCGGCCTCTGAATGCCACCGGGCCGCTCTGGTGTCTGCCGTGGTCTCTGTCCTGCTCCTGCTGCTTCTGCTCACGGGGGTCCTGTGCCACCGCTGCCACGGGCCGTGGTACCTGAAGATGATGTGGGCCTGGCTCCAGGCCAAAAGGAAGCCCAGGAAAGCGCCCCCCAGGGACCTGTGCTACGACGCCTTTGTGTCTTACAGTGAGCGCGATGCCTACTGGGTAGAGAACGTGATGGTCCAGGAGCTGGAGCACTTCGACCCTCCCTTCAGGCTGTGTCTTCATAAGCGGGACTTCATCCCCGGCAAATGGATCATCGACAATATCATCGACTCCATCGAGAAGAGCCACAAGACCATCTTCGTGCTGTCTGAAAACTTCGTGAAGAGCGAGTGGTGCAAGTATGAGCTGGACTTCTCCCATTTTCGCCTCTTTGATGAGAACAACGATGCTGCCATTCTCATTCTTCTGGAGCCCGTTGGGAAAAAGGCCATCCCCCAACGGGAAGTGTTTGAGTTGGAGAATAATTCTAGTTTTTAAAATGCAAATATTCATACAGTGAAATATTCTCAGTTTTCAAAACTTCGTTCTAGGTTGAGTTAGAATTTTACTCTTATTTCGCACAGGCCGTATTAAGAACATTCTTCAAAAATTGCAGATGTTAGCGAAATCTTTTCAGAATAGAAAAATTTTGAGGAATGGGCATTTGTGTTTGCAAAGGTGTATAAAAGAGTGCAGGGAGGGGCGCCTGGGTGGCTCAGTCGTTAAACATCTGCCTTCTGCTCAGGTCATGGTCCCAGGGTCCTGGGATCGAGCCCCGCATCGGGCTCCCTGCTCCGCGGGAAGCCTGGTTCTCCCTCTCCCACGTTCCCTGCTTGTGTTCTCTCTGTCAAATAAATAAAATCTTAAAAAAATACAAAAATAAAAAAACAGTGCAGGATTATATTAGATTTTCATTAAGTGATTTTTGACAGATGTATTTCTTGGTATTTTATGTAACTATTACAAGGCGCTTTATATGAAAAAGACAGACTCTGAATTTTGATAACTTCATTTTAGAATTTCAGTCAGTTGCTCAAAAATATAAATATCTACCATGAGTTATCCCTTCCCAAACACCTTTTCATATTCTGTGCTCATTTTCTAACCTTAAAAAATAAGATTTATAGTGAGTTGTAGGTCTTATGCCAAAAAAAAGCAGACTGACTAAGGAATCTTGGAGTGTGATCTGGGTTTGTCGCCTAGCTGTGAGCCACGTGACTTAGGAGTTCTCCAATCACTTGAGCTGAAGGTGCAATAATATCAGAACTATTTATTTCATGTGTTCTTATGAGATTCAGATGAAAAGATATATTTGAAAGTGATTTGAAAACGTTTATGAATCTTTATTGTACACAGATGACACTGGTAATAACTTGTGGGTAAATAAATGATTTCTCCCTGACTTTGCCAGACATTCTAATTGGCTTTGGGATACAAAGCAATAACATCAATCTAGGCATTTCAACTAAAGACATAGAGAGACAGAAAAGAGGGTTTTTTTTTTTTTTTAGATTCGGGGGGAAATATTGGAAAGAAGTTTTCTGAGGTACACAATTGAGAACTCATGAGAAAGAGAGGTGGGAATTTTGTAGGAAGAAGAAAGTCTTTCAGGCAACAGCAGAGCCCGGATCATTAGGGATAGAGACAAATACCCACAGTCAGTAACCTGTATAGAAAATCAGACTCCACCCTCTCAAGTTCACATTCATTCATGCCTGTTAAGTTCGCCCCTATTGGAACCTTTCATGAGGATTAGGGATGTGGAATAGGGCAAGACAGGAACCCTGGATTTAGGGTAAAATTCTCATTTCAAATCTCAGTCCTGCCACAACTTGCATGGCATTTCTTCCTGTGTAAAAGAGAAGAATGTTTTCTCAGCCTTAATTTGTGAAGATCAAATGTAATTGTGAATATAAAGTGCACTGTATGAATATTATTAAGGCAGTTTAATTTTTAGAAGGTAGTTTGTTTCCCTTATAAATATTCTTCACTAGGTCCTGCGGCAATGAAAAAAGCCAATCTAAGACTGTTTTTGGAATTACTTTCAGAGGCAGGGATGGAAGGAACAAGGTTGTGATTTGGATTCAAAATCTTACGGGTAAGTGGGAGCCCCCCATCTTTCATGGTCAGAGTAGGGATGTGACATAGGACCTACAGTCAGTGAACCACCAGGGACTGCCCCAGGATTGGGGAAAAAATGTCCTTATCTGCTCCTCGGGCAAAATGTTGCTCAGTCTGGACAGTGACTGGTAAGCTATTTTAATATAGGCGAGCATAGCCATGCTGGTGGGAGCGGACCCTGGGGATATACTGGCCCGTGAATACATGCTGAAGCAGGGCAGGGTGAGAAGCATGAATCTGAGCTCCCGACTGGAGCGAAACGGAGGGCAATTTCAAGACTGCGTTTCCGGGAACGCGAGGCTTTGAATGCCAGAGCTTCAAGAAAATACTGGTTGGGTAACTAGCCTCTGATTTCGAAATCTTCCTCTGTGCTTCGGGAATTCACGCACCGCGGCCGCTGGCAATCTCGGTTCTCTTTTCTCCGCCCCTGACCTCCAACAGCCCCAGAGCCCTCCTCGGACCCGGGCTGCATGCCGCCAGCCGCCACCTCCGTCAAGGTCACCTGACGCAGCCCGGAGCCAAGGCCGGCGGCGCGGGGCCACAGCGCCGGGCGTGCGCACCGAGCTCGGGCCTCACCTCCCCTTGCGCGGCGGCGCGACGGGCGGTCCACGCAGCCGGCGAGGAGGGACATCCGCCCCGCGCATTTTTCCTTTCGCTGCTCGCCTCGGCCCCGGCGCGTCGCGTCCGGAGGCGGCGAGGAGGCGCGGCCCGCCTGTGGCTCCGTCGTCTCCCAGGTACGTCGGGCCGCGCGTTCTCGCCGCCGCGCCCCAAAGCTCCCCCCCCCCGGCCCCGCAGCCGTGCGCCGGCGTGCGCTGGGCGCCGAGGCGGTCGCGGGGAGTCCCCGCTTCCCTCTCGCCGGCGGGCGGGCGGGGGTTGGAGGGAGAGCCCCCCGGCACGAGGACCCGACCCGACGCCCCGGTCTGCGCGCCACCCGTCTCTCCGAGCAGGGGCGACGACGGTCAGGTAAGGGCTTGCAGGTGGCACGCGTGCGTCCGGCTGGGGGTGTGTCTGCGTTCCTTGGTTACTGCAGGGACTAAACTCCGCACGTTGGATATCCTTCGCTGTGAGAAGTGGGAAAGGGTCGGGACTCGGGATCCGCCCGGGACTCTCGCACCCTAACCCCGAGCCCGGCCTCTGCGTGTTTCTCCAGCCTTAAAGTAGCTGAGTTATGTCTCTGATGAGAAAATAACTCAGAGCATTTAAGTTTAGGTGAGTTCTTTAAATAAGAATGCCCTGAAGTACCCTTTCAAATTCTCCAACTTCTATAAATGAGAACTTGTGTTTAGAACTTACGTGCAAGACAGGATTGTGTTTTTTACTCTTTTTGGGGGGGAGGGGCGGGAATTGATTGCTTGATTAGGTGTAAACAGCTCAGCTGGCTGAGATGATGCTGTCTTGCAGAAGGTCTTGTCTGCACTTTACTAACTCAGATCTTTACCAGAAAAGCAACCGGTAGATAGGGTGGCCTGACTTGAAAGCAGAGACTAAAAAAAGGAAATGGCAAACATCCTATTTGAAAATGGCTTATTCACCGGTATTTTAAGTTTCTTCCTGTTCTAAGCAGAGAACTTTTGCATCTTTAAACTTTTTATGATGCACTCAATTTGTGAAAATTGCCAGAAGTTTACAGCATGTTTTGTAAGTTTCTAAGCTATCAGTTAATTTTTTTTAAATTTCTTTAAGAATTTGGCTTGGTTGGTTAAATATCTTTATTTTGATTTTCGTGATTGAGCATGATTTATGGTTAAACAGCATTGTGAGTGTGACATTCTTATAAAGATCTAATAAATGTAAGTTGTATTTACTCCTTATAAATAAGAGGCTTGCTTTTCAAAAATACATTTCCCCCCACAGTAGCATTTAAAATTTATATTACTTCTTCCTCATACCAAAAAGCCATGCCTGAGTCTTTGGATGCTGTCTTCTTTCTTATCAATTATTAAATTAAAAAAAATGCAGTTGTTGCTTCTTGCTGTCTACTCTTACCAGGTTTATCTTCCAAATTGCGGAAGAACATATGTTTTGGGGTACTTCTTTCAATGATGGACTATGGGTAAAAATTATTTTTTTGCTTTTGAGTGTCTGAAAATGTCTATCTCACCTTTACTCTTAAATGATAATTTAAATGGGTCTTGACGTCTAGATCGGCAGGTGTGTCTCCTCTGCCCTTTGAGGATATCATTACATTGTTTTCAGGCTAGGTGAGGAATTTTTATTTATTTATTTTTTTTGCTGGGGATTCAATATGCATTTATAATTTGGTGACTTATTTTTTTTTCCAATTCGAAAAAAGTGTTTAGTTATTCTGTCTTTTAATATTTGGATCCACACCAGCATACACGGCAGGCCTGGAGTTCTGATTTCTTACAGGAGATTTCTGGTAGGCTGGCTTTTAGCTAGGGCCAGAGGGTAGAGATTTTTTAGATCCCTGTTCACATAAGGAGTAGCCTTTTCCCTGCCTGTGGCTTTATGGAGAGTGCACTTTCAGTTCCCAACCATGCACTGGGCCCTGCGTCCCTTCACCACTCCTGCTACACCCAACCATTATGGCCCTAGCCCTGATGTGGGTATCTGGTCGTTGTTTTGCTGGGGGCCATGGACCTTCAACTTTCTCTCAATTCTGGAGCAGCAGATGTACATAGCATAAGTTGCCTGTCCTGCCAGGCTTACTTGTCAGACTGCCATCTTTTCCTGGCTCTTGGGCCAGTAATGCCTCACCGCTCTGTCGATTTTCTGAATTCTTTAAGCAGATGATTTTATACTTTTTCCAGACCCACAACTCTCGTTAGATCGGATCCCACTCAGTCTAACTGTAGCCACTGCTCTTCCCTTTCTCAGTGTCTTACTCCGCGGAGCTCTCTGCCCCACGCTGTGATGTAGAGGGGAAGTGGGAGGAGAGGGATGTGACTCTCATCTTCAGTGTCAGGTTGTTAGCGGTAGTTTTGGCATCACCAGTAATTATTATTTGTTGAAAAGTCACCATGTAAACTTCATACAAATATTAGAATATTTGTATGAAATAGCCCAAGGTCCCTGCTCTTATGAATTTTACATTTAAAGACAAAAGGCTAGGAAAAATTAAAAAATAGATGTATTTGACCTTTAAATCTCAGCTGAAAACTGGTATCGATTTCTTAAGATTGGTGCTATTTATTACAAAATGGAAATGATCAAGTAAATTTTGGTTGCCCAGAACTAAAAAAAATCATACTAACATGACTTTTTTCAATAACTGATTCAGGAGAAAGACAGTGGGATAACTATAGTACCAAATAGTAATCTCATTTCGTCTTCCCCCTGTCAATTTTAGAGGTGGGGACAGTACTGGATCTGTAGTCTTTATGGTTCGTTTCCGTTGCCCACTGTTGCAGCTCTTC